CATCAGGAGAGAATGCTTCTGGCACATGACCATACAGCCTGGAAAACTCACAGCAACCCAATGTAAGAATTGTTGCACAAAATTATTATTATTATTATTAATTTATTTATTTTAATCAAAATTTGGGATCTGCCCAGGCGCTGAGATCTTCAGGAGAGGCTCTTCTCTCGATTTCACCTCCATCTCAAGCTCTGTTGGTGGGAACAAGAGAGAGGATCTTCTCGGTGGCTGCCCCTCAACTCTAGAACTCACTGCTCAGGGAAGCCAGAATGGCCCCCTCCTCACTGTCCTTCCAACAGCAGGCTAAAACCTTTTTATTCAGATGGGCTTTTAAAGAAGAATGTTTTTAAGATCAAGGCAGGGTTGCTGTAATTTTATATACTTTAATGATGTTTTTACTGTTTTAATACTTGTATATTTGTACGTTTTAAGTAGTATTGCAGTTCTTTTAGTTGTGAGCTGCTTTGAGTCTCCATATGGAGAGAAAAAGTGGGATATAAATATCATAATAATAATAATAGTAATAATAATGGAGGCCCCCCTGGTGGTGCAGTGGGTTAAACCACAGAGTGGCTGAACTTGCTGACCAAAAGGTTGGTGGTTCGAATCCGGGGAGCGGGGTGAGCTCCTGCTATTAGGCCTAGCTTCTGCCAACCTAGCAGTTCAAAAACATGCAAATGTGAGTAGATCAATAAGTACCGCTTCTGCGGGAAGGTAATGTTGCTCCATGCAGTCATGCTGGCCACATGACCTTCTGCAGGAAGGTAATGGTTCTGCATGCAGTCATGCTGGCCACATGACCTGGAAGTGTCTACGGACAACGCCAGCTCTTCGGCTTAGAAATGGAGATAAGCACCCCACCCCCAGAGTCAGACATGACTAGACTTAATGTCAGGGGAAACCTTTATCTTTACCTAATAATAATGTGGTGTTTACCAACCACTGTGCTCCCTACACTATATCACTTGTGCACCTTTACAAGAAAGAAAACAAATGTTTCCTGCTTTGTTCAGCTGGGAGGTTGGCATCCATCATGTGATGGGAAAACTTGGCAAAATTAGATTCCAGCATTGCATGGCCTGTAGTTCTTATTGTTATGAGCCACCAGCTCTGTCCAGTCTTGCGTTAATTCTCAAGTTCACACTGTCTCTTTATTTTGTTAGTTGAGCACAAACCCTCATGAACCTCACTCCATTTACTTTTACATGATGTCATATTGGAAATTAGATTGCCACTTTTGTGGTTATTTTTTAAATAGGCTGGCACTAAGCTATTCTTGGGCATGCCCTTCACAGTTCCGGAGCCAGACTTGGGTCATATGTTGCTGTATCATGCACTTCTAATGCTGTTGGAACCAAGCAGCACCATCACAGTCTAAGGCAGGCTTGGAGCAGGGCTTCTGAAGCTTTTTCAACATATAACCCCTTTTTGCCCAATAAATGTTTATGTGACACCAGGTATATAGCTATTTAAAACAGAAATGCAAATCTAACTTTTTTTACTGTTGGGTAGTTAAATGAATGGATATGGAGGATCAATTGTACCACAGCAATAGCAATCAGGGCCTGCCTAACTTCTAAGTACATAAAAATCAACCTGCTTAAATAAAACACAGTGGTCTGCAGAATCTGCTGGGATGTGGTTCCAGGACCCAGAGTGGATATTAAAACCTATGTATGCTCAAATCCCATGATATGCAAGGTTATAGCAAAATTATGCCACTTATATAAAATGACAAAGTCAAGGTTTGAGATAGATAAAGACATTCAAGCTGTGAACTTGTGGATACAGAGGGCCTATCCAGTTGCAAGCCAATCTCTGCATAACAAATATCAAATTTCCTTTAAGCAAGGGTGTGTGGCTGGAGAGCAGGAAGGGAAATAAATACCTGGAGGGGCAAGCAGAGTTCCTTCTCCTACTCTGCCTTTACCACCTTTGCCTTTTCTCCTCACACCTCCTCCTACTGCTACATTGCCGGGTGGCAGGAGGAAGGAAGCTTTTCAGGACCCCAAAAGTGAGCTAAGGGGAGGTTGGGAACCACAATTTAGGGGTCTCTGAGCTAGATGACATACAATCCACCAAATACTTTGGTACCCAAATCTCATTAGTCCATCAGGCATAGCCAGTGGGCAGGGGCTATAAGAGGTTTGGCCCAAAAGATCCGGAGAGCCAAACTTTCCCACCTTTGATCTGAAAACAGGAGTGGGATTTTCCCATCAACTACGCTTGATGATATCCCTGTTTTTAAGAAGTTTTTTTTTTTTGTGGTTTGATTTCTGCTTAATCACATTGGAAATCTCTTGTGGAGTGGAAAGTTGGGTTGTAAATAACATATAGCTACTGCAATGTAAACAGGCAGTCCCTGAGTTGCAAACATCGACTTACAAAAAGATCTTGGAGTCCTCGTGGACAACAAGTTAAACATGAGCCAACAATGTGATGTGGCTGCAAAAAAAGCCAATGGGATTTTGGCCTGCATCAATAGGAGCATAGTGTCTAGATCTAGGGAAGTCATGCTACCCCTCTATTCTGCCTTGGTTAGACCACACCTGGAATATTGTGTCCAATTCTGGGCACCACAATTGAAGAGAGATATTGACAAGCTGGAATGTGTCCAGAGGAGGGCGACTAAAATGATCAAGGGTCTGAAGAACAAGCCCTATGAGGAGCGGCTTAAGGAGCTGGGCATGTTTAGCCTGAAGAAGAGAAGGCTGAGAGGAGATATGATAGCCATGTATAAATATGTGAGAGGATCATAGGGAGGAGGGAGTGAACTTGTTTTCTGCTGCCCTGGAGACTAGGACGTGGAGCAACGACTTCAAACTACAGGAAAGGAGATTCCATCTGAACATTAGGAAGAACTTTCTGACTGTGAGAGTTGTTCAGCAGTGGAACTCTCTGCCCCGGAATATGGTAGCAACTCCTTCTTTGGAAGCTTTTAAACAGAGGCTGGATGGCCATCTGTCGGGGGTGCTTTGAATGCAATTTTCCTGCTTCTTGGCAGGGGGTTGGACTGGATGGCCCATGAGGTCTCTTCCAACTCTATGATTCTATGAGAGAATTCTACCACTAGAAAGGGAAATTTACTCCTGAAAGAGTTATCATGGGGAAAATGTGTCTCCACTGAAGATTTATCACCAATCCTTGTTTCCACAACAAGTCCTTTTTTTCAAAATTGAGTGTTTATAGGGACAGAAAGTGAGGTGAAATCTTCTGAACAGGGGCACAGACAGAAACACAAACCTCACAGTGGTGTTATCCCTTCCCTATACTATCCAAAGCTTCTATCTATTTATCTATCTATGGCTGGAGTTACACTTAAAATGTACTTGTTCTGACTTACAAACAAATTCAACTTAAGAATAAACCTACAGAATCCTTCTTGTTCATAACATGGGGACTGCCTGTACACGAAACAAATGAAAAAATATCTTTGTTTTGTATTCAAGTGGCCTTACCTTTGGATTAGCCCTTGAAATTGCCGGATCTCTCCAGACAAACCTCACAGTGGTGTTATCCCTTCCCTATGCTATCCAATGCTTCTGTCTGTCTGTCTGTCTGTCTGTCTGTGGCTGGAGTTACACTTAAAATGTACTTGTTCTGACTTATAAACAAATTCAACTTAAAAACAAACCTACAGAACCTATCTTGTTCATAACATGGGGACTGCCTGTACATGAAACAAATGAAAAAATATCTTTATTTTGTATTTAAGTGACCTTACCTTTGGATGAGCCCTTGAAATTGCCAGATCTCTCCAGAAAAGAGTGATCTCTTGTGTCACCTTTTGGGAACGGTTGTGGTGTGAGCTAAAATGTGATAACAGCCCTAGTAATGGCCTTCTTTCATTGTGGCTTTTTCAGATTGGAATAGACCCCCCACGAGGTGTACTCATGTACGGCCCTCCCGGCTGTGGCAAGACCATGCTGGCCAAAGCAGTGGCCCATCACACCACAGGTAGGTGAGGCATTGGCGGGGAGAAATCACTGTCTCTATGAGTCTAATCTATTCCCTTTTGCTTGTCTAGTACTTTATGGCTGCTGTATTGTTTTCAGGGGTGGAGCAAGACAATTTTCATTTATAGGGGCAGAAACAAAGATTGGTTTGGTGCAGTGGTCACTATAAAGTGGTTTCTCTGGGCAAAGGCTTTCATAGGTAATGGCAAAAATAACCCTTAATTTATGAAGCTTCCAAACAAGCAAATCAATTTATTTAAAATACAATATTTCCCAAATTCATAATATTATTTTTCAATGAAATAACTGTGTGTGTGAGAGAGAGAGGGAAGGAGGTCACCTGTCAACTTATGGTGACCCCATGAATTTCATAGGGTTTTGGCTAGGAAATGGATGCATATTCTGCAAGTTATCTTAGTACTGGACTTGGGGAAATAAAGCCTAACACTGCCTTTTTCTCCAGCTGCCTTCATCCGCGTCGTGGGATCTGAGTTTGTGCAGAAGTACCTGGGCGAGGGGCCACGCATGGTGCGAGACGTCTTTCGCCTGGCCAAAGAAAATGCCCCTGCCATCATCTTCATTGATGAGATTGATGCCATTGCCACCAAGCGCTTTGATGCCCAGACTGGAGGTGAGTTAGGGAGCTGTGGGATAGGAGTCTACTCAGCAGTCATAACAGGAGGGACAGTTCAAGAGAAATTCAGTTGGTGGGGCAGTAAACACAAGACGCTACTGTCTGTGTTCATTCCTTGAAATTGCTTTGATGTGTGCAGTATTCACCTAGCAAGGCATAGTACAGTGTTTTGTGGTCCACCATTCTGTGTTTGACTCATCTGGCTGCTATTTGTGGGCAATGGGAGCAGTGTGATGTCCACATATTTTAGGAAATGTTTGCTTGGACTACAACTTCCAGACTTACAAATCCTACTAACCTCAGTCACTGGAAGGCAGCAGCATGGAGGAGGTCAATACATTGGGTAATATTTATATTGAGCACATTGTACTATCTGTGTAAGACACCATGTAAAAGATTTTGTTTTTATCATCAACCTAAAATACTGCAATAAGCACTGGCACTGAAAAGTATTTATTTACTTACTTACTTTATTTATATACTGCTTTTCTCAGCCCTCAGGCGACTCAAAGCGGTGAACAACATCAATACAAAACATCACGAGACAAGTATAGGGCAATTAAAAACAATTATAACATAAATCATTAACATCAGTATAACAATCATTAGCGCCTCAACAGTAAAATCAGAATCCAGTCTCATCATCCATTATTCCGTATTCCTATGTTCAATTACACTGTTTAATCAAATGCTTGTTCGAACAGCCAGGTCTTCACTTTCCTCCGAAACGCCAGCAGGGAAGGGGCCGATCTGATATCTGCAGGCAGGGCGTTCCACAGCCGAGGGGCCACCACTGAGAAGGCCCTGTCTCTCGTCCCCGCCAAGCGCGCCTGTGATGCAGGCGGGACAGAGAGCAGGGCCTCCCCAGATGATCTTAGTGTCCTGGTCGGTTCATAGGAGGAGATGCGTTCGGAGAGGTAAAGTAAAGTTCGGAGAGGTAAAGTAAAGTAGTGGGAAGAGAGCAAAAAGAAAACATACCAACTCTTCCTGCCTCCTCCATTTCCATTAGCCTGTGGAGATGAGTTCAGGAAATCTCTGATTCCTTAATTGTTGTCAACATCATGGCCGTCAAGGAAGGCTGGTGAAATTCCAACCATCTTGAGCTGTTGTTTGTTTCTCTGTGTCATACGAATGTGCCAGAATCTTGGGGTTCAAGAATTCTTTTGTCTGCTGAGCAGAGCAGCTCTTTCCCATGGTTGGCCTGCGACAGCCTCTCTCAATGTGTGGCTCAGGTGAGGTGTGGAAAAGAAGCCTGTGCCAATTCTTGAGTACTTAAGATATGTTTTCTCTGAATATTTCATTTTCTAAGATGAGTTTCCAAATCTGGATTTATTTAGCCATGCCTAGAATGACCAATGGCCATGGAAGAAGAGGGGAGATACAAACCGCCTTGAGTTGCCTATGGGCTGAGAAAGGCGGTATACAAATACAGTAAATAAATAAATGTGGGCAAGCTTGTAATTCTGGGAAACCTGATATTTAGTGTGGAGCACTTTGAAGGACTCAGACCCTGATATGAGAGGGCATTTTCGGTGGCTGCCCCAACCCTATGGAACACCTTCCCAAAAGAAATTAAAACAGCTCCCTACCTTTCTTCCTTCAAGAACCAATTAAAAACTTTCCTGTTTAGACAGGCCTTTAGTGAAGGAAACTAAACACCATCATGTTTATGGACTGAAACAAAGTGCAATATGTTCTGACATGATGCCACAAGAATGTGAATGTATATTATTGTTGTTTAAAATTGTTATTTTATGATGATCTATAATTATTATTGTTGTATTTTGATTGTTGTTTACATGAATTTAATATGTTGTAAACGGCTTTGGGTCCCGTGAGGGAGAAAAGCGGGAGATGGCGATGATGATGATGATGATGATCATTTGTAACGCTAATTTTGTTTTCATTTTTCATCAGAATTTCTGATCTCTGTGCTGTTAATAAGGCCAATTATCAAATATTTTTCCTTATGTAGCCAAAACAAACTTTAGCATTCCATGTTTTGGACTATACAGCTACAGTCCCTTATCATTGGTTGTGTTGGTTGGGGCTTCTGGGAATTGAAGTCCAAAATACCTAGAGTGCCAGAAGTTTCCTAAATCCTTGAATAGAGCATCTTGAGAAGGGGGAACATTTGGAAACTGGAACAAGGGAGCATTTTTTTAAACCACTTGTTTCACTCTGGTTTTTCTAAATCCTTACCATGCACTAATGAAAAATCTCTGCTGTTTTTACTATGTCATCACAAGGATGTGGATTTTCTCTACAGATTAAAGCTTGAGGTACTCAGGATGTAATGTAACCTTTGAAAAGTTGCTCTTTTGAACTATAGCTTCCAAAATCCCCCAATCAGTATAATCATTAGCCATTCTCTTTGGAGGATTCTAGCACTTGTAGTCCAAAAGTAGCTTTTCCAAGCTCTGCTTTCATGCCAGCTGTTGTGTTCCAAACAAATTTGACTATGATTAGTGAAGCCTGACTTTGTGTTCCAGAATATGAGCTTATAGTTATATTGTTCTTTTTACAGCGGATAGAGAAGTTCAGCGCATCCTCCTGGAGTTACTCAACCAGATGGATGGCTTTGACCAAAATGTTAATGTCAAGGTGCGTTGGGGGAAGCTGATGAGAAATTGGGAAAGGACGGTTTAGAATTGCCCATGCCTGGTTTAGAATTTGGTTGTAACTTTTAAAAAATCATTTCATCATTATAGAATCAGCATCATTTCCCAATTTGGATTTTTACTATTTTGAGACTTGTATATTCAGCCAGGGATACTACCTATGAATCTCAGATAATGTGAATCTGCAATTTACCTCAGTTGCACTGCTTATGTTTTACTGGAGGGGGAGCGAGGTGGGAGAGAATACTTCTGAATCTGGGAAAAGTTGTCTCTTCAAAATTCAGAACAGACAGCATGTTTTCCCGTTGGGGGCTTCTCCCGTCCCAGGTGATAATGGCCACAAATCGAGCAGATACCCTGGACCCTGCTCTACTCCGACCAGGTCGCCTTGACCGTAAGATTGAGTTTCCTCTTCCGGATCGACGTCAGAAACGATTAATCTTCTCCACCATCACAAGCAAGATGAATCTGTCTGAGGAGGTGGATCTAGAAGACTGTATCCTTCTTATAGAGCAGCTTTTCTCAACCTGGGGGGTTGCAAGGATGGTTTTGGGGGGGTGCGAAAGACCAACAAAAAGCACAGTATTTTCTGTGGGTCATGGGGGGGGGGGCGGGGATCTGTGTGGGAAGTTTGACCCAATTCTATCATTGGTGGGGTTCAGAATGCTCTTTGATTGCAGGTGAACTATAAATCTTGGCAACTACAACTCCCAAATGTCAAGGTCTATTTTCCCAAAAACTCTACCAGTGTTCACATTTGGGCATATTGAGTATTCATGTCAAGTGTGGTTCATATCAACATTGCTTGACTCCACAGTGCTCTCTGGATGTAGGTGAACTACAACTCCAAAACTCAAGGTCAATGCCCACCAAACCCTTGCATTATTTTCAGTTGGCCATGGGAGTTCTGTGTGCCAAGTTTGGTTCACTTCCATCGTTGGTGGAGTTCAGAATATTCTTTCATTGTAGGTGAACTATAAATCCCAGCAACTACAACTCCCAAATGACAAAATCAATCCATTCCAACCCCGCCAGAATTCAAATTTGGGCTTATCGCGTATTTGTACCAAATTTGGTGCAGTGAATGAAAAAACATCCTGCATATCAGATATTTACATTACGATTCATAGCAGTAGCAGAATTACAGTTATGAAGTAGCAACAAAAATAACTTTATGGTTGGAGGTCACCACAACATGAGGAACTGTACTAAGGGGTCGTGGCATTAGGAAGGCTGAGAATCACTGTTCTAGAGAGCTCACTGGGATTGCTAAGGGTTATGGGAAGAGGGAAATCGAAGCTGAAAAACCCAGACAAGAGAGACACATTGTGAGAAGAGGAGAGCCTCTTGCCTTATACCTAAACACTGTTGGTCTGTCATAGGAGTGGGTCTGTGATAGGGAAGTATGTTGTAGACTGCCTATGGCAGTGGTTCTCAACCTGTGGGTCCCTAGATGTTTTGTCCTTCAGCTATCAGAAATCCTAACAGCTAGTAAACTAGGATTTCTGGAGTTGTAGGCCAGAACACCTGGGGACCCATAGGTTGAGAACCATTGGCCTATGGGCTCCTAAGATTCATTCATTGCTGGAAACTCCTTCTCCCATTTGCAATTGTATTCCAATCATTTCCGGAGGGGATAATTAGAAGGTCCATTCTAAGGTGCCGCTAAGAGTGCTTTACCTTAAATAGTTCATTTATTATTTATTTGAGGTATTTATACGCTGCCTTTCTCACCCCTGAGGGGACCCAAGGCTGTTTACAACTTATTAATCACAAAAATTTAATGTCAATGGTTTGTTGTGAGTTTTCCGGACTGTATGGCCATGTTCCAGAAGCATTCTCTCCTGACGTTTCGCCTACATCTATGGCAGGCAATCTTAAAGATTGTGAGGTCTGTTGGAAACTAGGAAAATTGGGTTTACTAGTTATATATCTATGGATATATAAACCCCATTTTCCACAGATATATAAACCCCATTTTCCTAGTTTCCATCAAACCTCACAACCTCTGAGGACGCCTGCCATAGATGCAGGCGAAACGTCATTAGAGAATGCTTCTGGAACATGGCCATACAGCCTGGAGAACACACAACAACCCAGTGATTCCAGCCATGAAAGCCTTCGGCAATACATTCAATGCCAACATACTGTAACACAGAGAAATAATAGACTCTGATTTTAATAGGCATGTGTTAGTCAAGTGTTTAAACTATTTTTTAATATTTTTAATATTTTAATATATTGTTGATTGTTTTATTATGATGACACCATATGGTGCTTCTGTGAGGCTGCCCTGAATCCCCCCTCGGGCGTGAGAAGGGCAGGGCATAAATATAGGAAATAAATAAATAAATAATAGCTCATTAATATATGTAACTTTGACTTAAAATCATTAAAACCATTAAACTTAAGACAAAAACAAAATTTATAAACATTCAGACAAACCATTAAAATAATCCTAGTATAGATATTAAAATCACATAATCCAAGAAAACACGTACACCAAATGTGTTTGGTTATAACCCTCATAATCTCAAATGTGTATTTGGGAGTAACAGGAATTAATGGATACTGGAATAACTGATGATTTTAACTCCCATGCGGTTGTCTTCAGCAGTGTGTCTTATAACAAGTTTCCTTAAAGCATTGCAGAGTGCACTCTGGTGCATTTTGCACAATATTGGGGAAAACTATAAGCAAAGTTTTTCTCAATTGCATTAATTCTCTGTATTTCATTTCATCTTTCAGAGGTTTACCCTTCAAAGGCTCTCTTTTACCTATTTATGTATTTTATGTAAGGCATTTTAATCTGTTTGTCAGGCAAAAAGGGTCATGTCGCAATTTCTGTACAGTTAACAGAAAACATGGCATTCTCTGCCCCTGGGCTGTCAAGCTGCAAAGCCACAAAACAAAAGGTAAAGGGGAAGAAAGGGGAGGGCAGAGCAAGTCATCTTTCAACAAGTCTGGTGGAATAACTCCACTGCCCGGCTCATCTCTCTCTGTTGCAGCTTGTTGGAAACCAATTGAGGGTGGAAATTTCCAACTTGAACAGGATCTGTTAGATAGGCCAGAGAGTGCCTGGAAATGCTTGTGCATGTGACAGCATGTGCTTGACATTGCTATCTGTGAGAAGTTTGAGTGTAAAAGATACACACAGCCTTCTCACCACAATCTTCTCTCGCTTGGGGGAAATCTATGCTTAGTTGGGGATGATGTTGTTCAGCATGTCAGTAAAGCACCAGAGAATCATAGAGTTGGAAGAGTTCTCATGAGCCATCCAGTCCAAAAACCTGCCAAGAAGTAGGAAACTCTCATTCAGAGCACCCCCGACAGATGTCCATCCAACCTCTGCTTAAAAGCCTCCAAAGAAGGTGCCTCCACCACACTCAGGCAGAGAGTTCCACTGCTGAACGGCTCTCACAGTTAGGAAGTTCTTCCTATTGTTCAGATAGAATCCCCTTTCTTGTAGTTTGAAGCCATTGTTCTGCATCCTAGTCTCCAGGGCAGCAGAAAACAAGCTTGCTCCCTCCTCCCTATGACTTCTCCTCACATGGCCATCATGTTTCGTTTTAGCTTTCTCTTCTGCAGGCTAAACATGCCCAGCTCTTTAAGCCACTCCTCATTGGGCTTGTTTTCCAGATCATTTTAGTCACCCTCTTCTGGAAACATTCCAGCTTGTCTACATCTCCACCAAATTAGGAATACTAAGGGTAAGCAGATGGCATTAAAAGGGCCAGGAAGAGTGGAACAGTTAAGACACTCAACTGCCCATTCTTCACTCCATAGCATCCTATAATATAGGACTGTGAGGAGGATAATAATAATTTATTTATTTGATCAGTCATATGACCATTTCAAAATACAAAATGAGTAAAAGACAAGGCAAAAAGGTGAGGACAGCAGCTGACCCTCTATTCACAGTCAGAGTCTTATTTTCCTGGTTCTTTATTCGGGAAATATGCTCTTTCTTGAGGGCTTTCATAGAATCATAGAGTTGGAAGAGACCTCATGGGCCATCCAGTCCAAACCCCTGCCAAGAAGCAGGAATATTGCATTCAAAGCACCCCTGACAGATGGCCATCCAGCCTCTGTTCAATTTATTTATTTATTTATTGCACTTCTACCCCGCCCTTCTCAACCCCCGAGGGGGGACTCAGGGCGGCTTACAAAAAGGCACAATTCGATGCCAACACAACAACAAAGTAAGAAATAAAGCATATATAAACAGCAATTACGTCAATTAAAACAATTAAAAACAATCCACTTATACATCATAGTACCTAAAAAACCAATCTAATGCTCAGCGTTTACCACTCAGAGTCAATAAATTCAATTCCACATTGTCGAATCCATCAGTTCTAGTCGTTATTTGTCCTTTTATCTGCCAGATTCCCCGAAAGCCTGGTCCCAGATCCATGTTTTCAGTTTCCTTCTAAATGAGAGGAGGGATGTTGATGACCTAATTTCCCCGGGGAGTGAATTCCACAGTTGAGGGGTCACCACCAAGAAGGCCCTGCTCCTCGTACCCGCCAACCTCACTTGTGATAGAGGTGGGGCCGGGAGCAGGGCTTCCCCAGAAGATCTTGAACTCCGAGGTGGGACATAGAAGGAGATGCGTTCGAACAGATACGCTGGGCCAGAACCGTATAGGGTTTTGTAGGTCAAAACCAGCACTTTGAATTGTGCTCAGAATTGGATCGCCAGCCAGTGGAGTTGACACAACAGAGGGGTGGTATGTTCCCTGTATGACGCTCTGGTGAGTAATCTGGCTGCCGCCCGCTGGACTAATTGAAGTTTCCGAACCGTCTTCAAAGGCAACCCCACGTAGAGTGCGTTGCAGTAATCTATTCGGGATGTAACAAGAGCGTGGACCACTGTGGCCAGATCAGACTTCCCAAGGTACGGGCGCAACTGGCACACAAGTTTTAAGCTTAAAAGCTTCCAAAGAAGGAGTCTCCACCACACTCCAGGGCAGAGAGTTCCAATGCTGAACGGCTCTCACAGGAAGTTCTTCCTCATGTTCAGATGGAATCTCCTTTCTTGTATAAAAAGGCTTACTCTGATTATGGTGGATCTTTCCTGACCTTGCAAGAGGAATGTCAGAAGATCACTTCTGTTTCAGGACCTGCAGATGGACAATATTGGGTGTAAATATCTGACTGAGGAGGAATCAAGCCTCTATGCAACAAATGTGGGCAATTGCTAAAGATACAAGGGCTGATTTTCCACCCGATCCCATTAGACTGCACTTCCTTATAAGAGTGCCGAATGACTACCTTTCCCTCCAAAATGTCAACCAGAAATGACATCACATTCAATGTTACTAAATATTTGGGATGGCTTGGGGCTGCAAAATTGAGGGCTAGACTTTTTCTCCACCCTTCTCCTGGGATCATGAACTTGACCTTCCTTGCTTGTGTTGTAGGTTATTGCCACTGCTCTTCTGCTGCTACATCCTGAAAGCATCCTCAGTTTTGAAGGTTGTTCCCATTCTTTTCACCATTTTCCTTCACTCCTTCCAGATGTGGCCCGGCCAGATAAGATCTCAGGTGCTGACATCAACTCCATCTGCCAGGAGGTTAGTATTATAGGTCTTTGCAATTTCATTTGATTCCAGAAATTCACTTGGCTAGCAGGCCATCCTCGGTCGTATTTCATAGATTTGATTTCTCCTTCCCCATTGTAATCTGCTAACTTTTAACTATTGAGAAAATGGGAGAAAGAGAGACTCAGTAAAGATGATGTAAACATTTGCCAATATAGATTGTGGTGACGAGAATTATAATAGCAAAGTCTTGGAAGGGGAAAAAAGAACTACTCGGTAAGGATTGAAGAAGAAAATTAGTCGAGTATATCCAAATGGCCAAGCTCTCCAATGGCTTAAGGGGAGGAAACAATGGAGACTCGCCTTTGGGTATTTAAAAAAGAAGACAAAAATAGATTTTGAAATAGCCACCAGGGAATGTTTTAATCTATATAAATAAAAATGTAATTTTCGTTTGTGAGCTTAACATAACTCAAAAACCGCTGGATGAATTAACACCAAATTTGGACATAATACATCTATCAGGTCAACAAATGTCCATCACTCGTAAAAACACTGAAAAACACAGCAGAAGAGACTTAAAAAGCAAAAAAACAAAAATACATTACAATGCATGTGCAAAAACACTTATACACAAAGACACATATACACAAATATATACACATATATGCATATATACACACACAAAACACATATAAACAGAAAGGGGGAAGGAAAAAAGAAGGAAAGAAAGAAAGAAAGAAAGAAAAGAAAGGAGAGAAGGAAATAAAAAAGTGAAAGAAAGAGAGAGGGAAGGAAGGAGAGAAGGAACAAAAGAGAGAAAGAGAGAGGGAAGGAAGGAAGGAAGGAAAGAGACAAGGAAGAGCAAAAGGAAGCGAGGAAAGAAACAGCTAGAGGCTGAAGAAAGAAGAGGGGAAAGAAAAAGAGGGAGGAAAGAAAGGAGAAAGAGGGAGGGAAGTTTGGCCACAGCAACAGCTAGTGTAATGATAAGGATAGAGTTTTGTTAGATAGTAGTTCCATATGACGTGTCAGAAATCATGGGTGGTGGTTCACGGGTGTGACTGGGGAAATAATACTTGTGTTGCTGTAAGTTTTCTGGGTTGTATGGCCATGTTCCAGAAGCATTCTCTCCTGATGTTTCACCCACATCTATGGCAGGCATAGAGTTTGTGAGATCTGTTGGAAACTAGGCAAGTGAGGTTTATATATCTATAGAATGCCCAGGGTGGGAGAAAGAACTCTTGTCTTCTTGAGGTAAATGTGATTATTGCAGTTGGCCACCTTGATTAACATTGAATGGCCTTGCAGCTTCAGCGCCCGGCTGCTTCCTGCCTAGGGGAATATAAGCACTCACAATTTTAAGACTCCTCCCATTTTAAAGATATGTTTATAATGAGGGGAAAGTGTGTCTTAGAATTGAAGAAATACAACATGTCCTTTCTTAGATTTCTGAACTTGGGATGTGTTCGCTGCTTTTGAAGCCTTTAGCTCATCCTTTGCCCTCCCTGCTTTCTCTCTTTTTAGGCTGGGATGCTTGCTGTCCGGGAAAATCGCTACATCGTTCTGGCCAAGGATTTTGAGAAGGCCTACAAGACTGTCATCAAGAAGGATGAACAGGAGCATGAATTCTACAAATAAAGATGGGGAAGGGGGACAGATGGGTTGGTTGTCTTAGTCTTTGGTGGGGTTGGTGGGTAGGGTCAGTTGGGGCGTATGTCTAATGCCAGTGAGTGAAATTTATCCTGTGAATAAATACCCAGAACTTCAGCTGTTTCCTTTTTCAGTAGGATATAAGTTTCTCCTTATTCCTGTCTTGGCTGTATTTGACCCAGATCTTTATAGACCCAGATCTTTATAGCTTCCGTTACTGTACCTAATGGGGACCGATGCTTAAAATGGGTTAGACCACTGGTCACGCTGGCAGGAGTTGATGGAAGCTGGATTCCTATTTCCTCTCTCATGCCAGTTCTAACATAATGAATGGAGGTACGTTCTTTCCACATTGTTCAAAGCTCCATTCCTACCAAAGGCTCTAGAACACAAGTTCCCAACCTTTTTTTAACCAGGGACCATTTTGACCAGGGACCATTCTCTAACATTAGTACCAAAAGGGTTACAAATCAGTTTTTGATTAACTTTAAATTCGCTTTGGTTAGAAAACTGTATTGGATAGACCACATCAGCTCTAGTTTCTGATACAGAACATATACCATCCAGCAGTCACCACTTGCTCGCCCACAGAAAATCATATCTAATAAGCCTCGGCACTATAAGGGTTTTGTGAGACTGGTTGTTTTCATTGCAACACTGTGGTAATGGTAAGGCCGCAGACCATATTTTAGTTCTTGCAGACCACTGATGGTCCACGGACCACAGGTTGGGAACCACTGCTCTAGAAACAGTCAAAAAGAGAGTTCTCTGCTGAAGGGCCTAAAGATCTATTCACAGCCCAACACCCCCCTCCCTCCACCCTGGTGCTGACAAAGAAAGCATCATTAGATAGACTGCATTAACTCTAGTTTCTTAGATATGGTTATCACAATTTTATATGGGTTAGCAGATGGTGACTGGTAGATGACATAGATCCAACATTTGAGGCACCAAAATATGTTTTGGCCAGTGTTATGTTAAAGCAGATGCCACAGAGCAAGATGGAGAAATTAATCTTGTTTGTAAACTGAGGCCTGAGATTGTTAGAGTACGGTTGAAAGTGGCTATACCAGAAACCTGAAAAAATAGATATCACTGGCTACCTGTTTGTCTCAGTGTTCAAAAAAGCTGTCATAAACTAGCTAGTTAGAGCCTTTGCTTCATGCATGAAAATAAATAAACTAAACTTTTTCACCATCTCTTTTGATTGTATTTTTGAGGACCACGGCTGAGCAGGCCATTGTTTTGCAGTCTCCATTCTGATTTTGTGATAATTAGGATTTTGTGTCATGCTACTTCTAGACCAACTTTTTCCTGAAAAATGTTTTTTTGGAGATAATAGGAGTTCTGAACAAAAAACATGACGATTTGCAGTCAGACACAATCAGAAGATGCCAAGTTGGGGAAAGCTCTTAAGTTGAGAAATGCTTGAAAGAGGCACTATTCCTGAAAATGGCATTCACAAGGAGTTTTAATCATCATCATCATCTATATAAATAAAAATGTAATGTTCATTTGTGGGATTAACAAAACTCAAAAACCACTGGACAAATTGTCACCAAATTTGGACACAATACACCTATCAGGCCAACAAGTGATCATCTCTCATAAAAACACTGGAAAACACAGCTGAAGAGACTTTAAAAGCCAAAAAAATAAAAAATACATTACAACGCATGCGCAAAACCACATATATACACATAGACACATACATACACACACAAAACACATATACATAGACTGGGCCACAGCAACGCATGGCAGGGGACAGCTAGTAGTAGTAGTAATAATAATAATAATAATATAAAAACTTTGTTTACATTCTGCCGTATCTTCCCGAAGGGACTTAGGGCGGATTCCTAAAATAAAAGCAAAAAGGGCCTAGCTTTAGCACAGCTGGTTAATCACCAGCAGCAATAGATCTCACCAATCGAAAGGTTGGCAGTTCGAAGCCCAGGTCAGGTGAGCAAGATGGAGAAATTGATCTTGTTTGTAAACTGAGGCCTGAGATTGTTAGAGTACGGGACCTTTAGCCCAGCTTACTGTCCTCCTAAGTAGTTCGAAAACAGCTGTGAGCTGTGAGTAGAGAAATTAGGCACTGCTTAAGCAGGGATGTATTTTACGGCACCATAAAAAGAAATACCAGAAAAATGCCAACGATCAAAGGAAGGAAGAAGTCTGCGATCAAGGCTCTACATCATAGAGGATGAAGCGACAGCGCTCCCCGGTGGGTGGAATCGAGCACAACCTGCAGGATGCCAAAGTTGGGAAGAATGCGGACATAATACCTCTATCGTTGTCTGTCCTGTCTGTTTAACGGCATTGAATGTTTGCCGTAAATGTGTTCTGTGATCCGCCCTGAGTCCCCTTCGGGGTGAGAAGGGCGAAATATAAATGCTGTCAATAAATAAAATAAACATTCAATGCCTCCGTACAATAACAAATGTAGACATAATATCCCAAAATAACCCCACATGTGAAAATAACATGTAACATGATATGTATAGATTAAATAGAACATAATCGTATCTAAAAATTCTATCAAACATAAAACCTAAATATGAAACATCAAACATCCACATTAATTTACAGGAGCCAATGAAGGTTCACTCAGATATGTAGGTTGGTTTTGTGGCCGGTGATGTTAACTGGGCTAACGTGGTCTTACGAGGCCCGAATACAATAATAGTTTCCAATCCAAGGTCTGGTTGTGGAACCCAGCGTTGTGAGTTCCCACACCACATCAATGGTGCAGTAAGGGTAATTTTGTTCTGTGGTCTGAAACTGTAGAAAAAGCTTTCGAAATAAGTATTAAAGGCTAGAGAATGTAAGAAATGCTTCTATTTCCTTTCAGCTGTTTTGGATATTATTGGTAATCTTTTAAAAAGTTACTTCATATGAGCAGTATGAGAACTAATATTTTGAATCTTTGCTTCCTCTGCATTAGGCACAAGTTTAAGCAGCATGTGAGAACTGGTGACATCTTGTGGCAAAAACATATTGCTTATACCTACACCATTTACATTTTTTACTCTCAAGAGTCTCAACTGTATAGTTATAACCAGTTAGACGCCTTGAGCAAGTCGCACCCTCAACTTTAGAAGAAGGTAAAGACGAGAACCCCCTATGAGCAAATCTTGGCAAGAAAACGTGAAATGTTTTCTGAGGATTGTTATAAATTGGAAACAACAAAGGCACACAAGAAAAAATATCTGTGTTGATAAATGTTTTCCTAGGCAGCTGCTGTTTACTTTGCTTGCTGGAGGCAAGCACACACAACTGCATCTTGATTAGAATCCCACTCTTTCCCAGCTTTAGCTTCAATGCATCCTTTACTGTAGAAATCAGGTACTCCTGACACAGCAGTGCTTCTTTATTATTGTTAATAATTTTATTAAATTTCCATTCCATTTCATTACTAAATACAATCTCTATAGTTCATATATTTATTCATTCTCATTTTTCCCATTGTGCTTCCCATCTCCGGAGTCGTTCTTTTCTTCGTAGTTCCACTAGAACATAATTTCTTCTGGTGACAATTGCTTTCCATCTTCTTTTCTCAATGTTTCTTCAATAATTTTTCTCCAATATGCTTTCAAAATCGTTATTTTTCCTTTTTCTGACACAGGCACTGGCTCTGTTTCTGCTTCAGAGCCCGAACTTCCTTCTTGGTCTCCCTCTGTTTCCTCAACAAGCTTTTTCTGTCGTCTGGTAGCCATATTTCAATAACTTTTACCTCACAAATTATTCTCAAAGTAGTCTTAAGGCACTAAATCAGTTGTTAATCGTATCCCGTCATCTGCCACCAATTTGAAAAGAATGCAAGGGAGCGGAGGGATGATTTATTGTTGCCACCAATTTGAAAGGAACCAGTATTCAGGAGATTTTACCCCAGTTCCCAATTTTAAAAGAACTGGCCGATTTGCAATGGAGGTTGCCGATTAGGAACCAAATTTACCATCAAGTTGGAAGGGAGGCTGTTCAATTGCACCTCCTCCTTTATTAAGAAAGTAATAACTTAGTAGCAATTACACTGTATATACTGTAGCGTGACTGGAGAGAAGAATGTAGGTTTATTTGGTTACTTTTCCCTGCGTTTCTGCCACCACGTGAGGTAAGTTGTAATATTGTGAGTAATGGCACTTTGGACACAGAATAGACGGAGCTGAGGCAATCTTCAAATAAAAGTTAACAATTTTATTAAGTACACAGCGTGTGGTTGCAAGACGTAACTTTTCCTTGTTGCACTTGGAATAATACTTGTAACTTTAACAGTTCATTCTTTCAAGTAACACAGTATCTTTCTGACGTAGAGCACTTGTTTCAGACAAAGTTTCAATACAGGGATGTTTCCCTTGTTTGATCCTCCCTAGATCAAATACTAAGTAAACTATTCTTTAGCCTCTCCTTAGACTAAAAGAATACCAGCTATGTTTCACCATTCGGCTGCACTAGCCTGAGAAACTTCCAATAGCCAAACCCAGCTTTTCAAAGCCTCAAAGCTTTGCTTCACAAGTCACTCCGCCACCTTTCCTTTCCTTCTCTCCCAACTCCTAACTCCTCACTCCTCTGAACCTAACTCCTGACTCCCCTGAACCTAAACCCGGACTGCTCACATCTCTAAACCTAAACCCTAACTGATTTTTAACTGTCGTTTTTTTCAAACTCTCCCCTCTAAGCTCCTCCCACTTCCCTCTCTCCTGCATCGGTCTCCATGGCAACCTCTGACTTAGGCCGCTCCAGCATTACTGCAGCCAATCTAAACACAAATACTGTTAAAATCATACAATTTATAATCAACTCCTGTACAACAATAAATAGAGAAAAATAATAAATGTAATAATAATAATAACATAGTAAAATAATTATTAACCTTAACTCCAGTATAAGACGAGGGGGCTTTTTCAGCCTTAAAAGGGATGAAAAACTCAGCTTATACTTGAGTACAATATGGTACATGTTAATTTATCATTTATTGTTAATTTCCATAATTCCTTATACCATTCTTCTTCTATCTTAATTTCTACCCCTCCTTACCCATTTTTTTGTTATTAATAGCCTTGCTGCCATTAACAACATTGTTACCAAATTCTTTTCATTTTCTTTCCAATCATCTG